GGGCGTTTGCCTTGTACACGGCCTACCCGGCTGACCCAGGTTCGATTCCTCCGCCCCTTTCAGAGAATCGGACAAGCTATCGTGAGTATCTCGCCCACACGGAAAAAGCCTGGCAAGCTACCCTTGACGTATTCAATATGCCAAACACAGGAGCGATAGCACAGCGGGTAGGGCGTTCGCCTTACAAGCGGCCAACATGGCCGACCCGAGTTCGATTCCTCCGCCCCTCTCGGAGAGCCCGGCAAGCTACCGAGAGTATTGGATATGCCAGACACAGTAACAACAAAGTCTCCAATGGAGACGTTACTGGGCCCGCTCGAGCAAATCGACGATCAACGGGAGGGCCTTTACCTTTACCTTTACCCAATTTTAAACAAACCCATGTGACACTCTCTAAGTATTTAATTCATCACCTTAACCATTCTAGTGTGCTTTGTTGGGGGAATGAGGGGCTCTCGAGTAGTGTTCAGGACCACAGCCAGTGATGCTTGGGGGTCTATGGGCATACAACTAGCAATGCTCCAAAGGCCCTGAGTACTGGGGATCAAACCTGGGTCAGGTGATTATACCCTAATCCCTTTATTATTTCCCCAGCCTCATCTTGACCATTCTTAAGTATAGTTCAGTTATGCTAGATATATTCCCATTATTGTGCAATCAAAAATCAAAGTTTCTTCATCTTGCAAAACATAAACTTTATAGCACCAGAGATGTGGCTCAGTGACAGAGTATTTGCGTTCAATGCATGGGGCCCTGAATTCAATTCCTGGCACAAAAAAAAGACGAGAGGGAGAGAGAGAGAGAGAGAGAGAGAGAGAGAGAGAGAGAGAGAGAGAAGAGGAGGGGAGGGGAAGGGAGGGGAAGGGAGGGGAGGGGAGGGGAGGGGAGGGGAGGGGAGGGGAGGAGAGGAGAGGAGAGGAGAGGAGAGGAGAGGAGAGGAGAGGAGAGGAGAGGAGAGGAGAGGAGAGGAGAGGAGAGGAGAGGAGAGGAGAGGAAGAAAATTGAAACTTAACATATACTTAAAAACATACTTAAGGGGCTGGAGTGATAGCACAGTGGGTAAGGCATTTTCCTTGCACAAGGCCCAACCTAGGTTCAATTCCCAGCGTTCCATATGGTCCCCCGAGCATGGCCAGGAGTAATTCCTGAGTGCATGAACCAGGAGTAACCCCTGTGCATCGCTGGGTGTGACCCCAAAAAAAGCAAAAAAAAAAAACTTAAAATTGAAAATTGAAACTTAACACATACTTAAACTTAACAACTGTTTACAATTAAACAACCCCTAATGTCATTTCTGCAGAGGCCTTTCCTGTTTCTATTCATGCATTGACATCTCAAATGAAATCATACAGTATGTCTTTAAGTAACTGGCTTCTTTATCTTAACTTCCTACCATCCTTTAACGTAATTCATGTCAAAATCAAAGCCTGTGTCCCAGTTGCATCACATGTTCGTGGTAGTTTCTTTGCTTCACATACTGAATTGTCTTCCATCATTCTTAAGAGCTCCTCAAAAAAAAAGCTTTAGGCATATCCAAAGAAATGATAAGCATGTGAAATAGAACTGGGGCTGGAGAGATCAATGATCTGGTGTGCATGCTTCGTAGAGAAGGCCCTTTGACTACCCGTATCCCTCTTGAGTACTGCCAAGAGCAACCCCAAGCAACAAGTTGGGAGTAGCTCCTGAGCACCAACAGTGGCCAAAAAAAAAAAAAAACAAACATAAACAAACAATGGTTAAAACAGTCACCAAACTCACAAATTTTATGACAAAACTGTATATAAATAATTAAAACTAATGAATCAGTTTTTCTGTCTTTTTTGCACTTTCAAAAACCACTAATATTCCCCGAAATCTAAAATCGCTCCTTGGCAGGGTGGGATGGGGGATAGGGGGTGGCAGGGATACTGGGATCAGTGGTGGTGGAGAATGGGCACTGGTGGAGGGATGGGTACTTGATCATTGTATAACTGAAACCCAAGCACAAAAATTTGTAAGTCTACAACTGTACCTCATGGTGTTTCACTAATAAAAATTAAAAAATAAATAAAATAAAATCACTCCTTGACAAATTTATTCCAGCACCTTCTAATAACGGAAAATTGTGTTTTCCCTTACTGGTAATTCTAATCTTAACTCTTGTAATAATCATTTCACTCTTAATTTTATATTTACCATAATGTTTTCTAATGGATTCTCTTACACATTTCCCAGTAAGGAAACATAGCAAAGTATCACACTTAAAAAAAAAGGGGGGGGGGGGGGCTGGAGAGATAGTATAAGATTAAGGCAACTGTCATGCACACAGCTAACTCTAGTCAGTTCAATCCTTGGCTAAATCACTAAGAACTGACTGCCAGGAGTGATCCCAGACACAGAAACAGGAGTAAGACCTAAGCATCACTGGGTGTGGCCCAAAACCCCACTCAAAATAAAAGAAAAAAGTGCAGTGTATAATTATAAATATTCCATTAAAATATAAATGATTAAGTAGACTTAAAGAAACCAAAAAGAAAAAAAATAATAAAAGCACAGAAAATAGTTAACCACTAGTTTTATTGTTGAATTTTTACATTTTACAAAAGTAACTTAGTACTGAGATGAAATAGGAAACCTGCTTAAAATGAGCTTAAAAATAAAAAAATAAATTGTTCGATAAGGGTTAAACAGCCAGATACTGTTCTAGATCCTAAGAATATAGCAGTAACCAATAATTCTTAGAAGATTCTATTCTGAGTAGACATAATGACTTAGAAAAATTAATAATTCCCATGTTATGTTATATATGAGCACAAGAAAATGAATGCAATGAAGATGGGAAAGATACAGGAAGACCCTCACTGAGGTAATGTTCAAAAATTATGAAATTGGGGGTCAGAGCGATAGGACAAGCGGGTAGGAGGTTTGCCTTACACGCGGCCAACCTGGGTTCGATCTGCTGCATCCCATATGGTCCCCCAAGCACCGTCAGGACTAATTCCTGAGTACAGAGCCAGGAATAACCCCTGAGCATCGCTGGGTGTGACTCAAAAAGAAAAAAAATATGAAATTGGTAAAACAGTTGAACCATGTGGAAAAATGAGGGGAAAGTATTCCTGGCAAAAGGACACAGGTATAAATATCCTGGGGCTAGATATGACTGAGGAGGCCATATAGAGCAAATAGAAGAGTAGCGGAGATGAGACCATAGATGAGGCAAGACTGGATTATACTGGATTATACTGGTTCTTTGGGTGAAACTTCAATTTGTAAATTCCCCACCCAATTCAATCCCCAACACTGCAGGATCCTCAGAGCACCACTAGGGTTTTCTTGAGCGCTGCCGCCACCACCACCACGACCACACTTCTGTGTGACTCTGGTGGGCCCTTGCACCACTGGGTCTGAACAGCATCACAGAATCATGAAATCTGGTTGGTCAAACACTTGAGACTGGCCCTGGCGGCTCCCTGAACACCTCTTGGGAGGCCTCCCTCTCTACAACAACCCCTCCAAAAAAGACTGACTGAATGAAGTAGGTCATTATCACGAGATTTTTTTTTTAAGAAGGGAGATAAAAATATAGATTCATTTTAAGAAGATAGAGGATTTTTTTAAGGAGGGAGCTATAAATATATATATATGTATATTTTTTTAAGAATGACTAGAGGGGCTGGAGCGGGATCACAGTGGGTAGGGCGTTTGCCTTGCACACGGCCAACCCGGGTTAGATTCCTAACATCCCATATGTCCCCCCTGAGCACCGCCAGGAGTAATTCCTGAGTGCAGAGCCAGGAGTAACCCCTGTGCATCGCCAGGTGTGACCCTAAAAGCAAAAAAAGAATGACTAGATGTTGTGGTGGAAAATGGTAAAGATTAGTTAGGTGGCTATGAAATAATAGGCAAGAGGAAGGTGAGGAGGTGTTGGGAGATCTGGAGAGATTTTGAAGGTGGCCATCTGCAGGATCACCCAATAGGTTATAGGTATGGTATCAAAGAGATGAGTCAAGGATTACCTTGCCCAAAGGTTCAGACCTAAGCAAATTATCTCAATAATGACTGTAAGTACCAGCACCAAAAAAACAAAGATAGACAACTTGAATTATTTTTTTAAATCCCCAGAGGTACAAAAACCAAAAGTTGGGACCAGTATCAAATAAACGAAGGGGCCATGGCTCTTACAAATATCAGACCAAAAATAAAGAAATCAAAGTCTGGTGTCTATCTATCTCGGACTCCGACTCCTCGTTAACGTCTCTGTAACTTTTGGCGTTTGTGAAATCTTTCTTCGCGATGGATGGAGGCGGCTGTAACTTCCTAGGGAGATGCCACACCTTCCTTCGGATCCGCCCACAGCTTAGAATAGCTCCTAGTTTGCTAACAAACACCAAGTGCATTTAAAGCATTATTTCTCCCTCATCACAAATGTTAAATGCTTCGGAAGGGCAGGGCTGTCTCTCTCAAGCCTGGGGTGGACACAGACACACACACATACATACATTCATTCATTCATTCATTCATTCTCATTCTCTCTCCCTCTCTCTCCTCCCTGTTTTCTCCCTATTCTCTCTCGCTCCCGCTCTCTCTACCCCTTTTCCCCGTTTTCTCTCACTCTCTTTCTCTCGCTTGGTCTCGTTCTCTCCCTCTCCCCATCTCTCTCTGTTCTCTCTTCTCCCCCTCTTTTTCCTCTGTTCCCTCTCTCTCCCTCCCTCCCTCTCTCTCTCTCTCTCTTGTCTGTCAGATGTCTGAGTCTTTGTCAGATCTCTCTCTCGCTCCCTCTCCCCCCTGACCCCCTCTCTCCCTCCCCCGACCCCCACCCCGCCGACCCCTCGCGCCAATAACCAGCTCGCCAACACCCACACCCACCCACTCCGGCCCGCGCGTTCCGGGTTGGTTTTAAGGTCCAACACTTCCAGGAAAGGGGGGAAAAAGTGTGAGAGAGCACTGCAAAGAGAGCATCGGCCACGAGTCAAGCAGGCCCGCTCAGCTCCCTCCTCTCCCCAAGCTGCCGAAGTTCTCACCTGCCCGCGGCTGGCCCGTGCCGCTCCGCGCGACGCTTCCGGTCTTGACAGGAAGCACTTGCTCGGGAGAGCGGAAGTCCCGCCTCCGGAGCCGGGGCGACGGGCTTATTCCAGCGGCCTCGTCAGCCTCTGTCAACCAAGCAGCTCAACCCTTTTGCTGCACGAATGAGCCCCTCAGACCTAGAATGATAGAAGGCAATGAATACTTTGATAATGTCTATTGATCACGAAAGAATTACTTGTCCCTTATGAAAATAAGTGCCCGGTATATCGAGCCCCTTTAAGGATGTTTGTGTTGGTCACAAAAAATATATAATGAGGCTTCAAAAACTATCAAGTGGAGGCTGGAGCAATAGCACACCGGGTAGGGCGTTTGCCTTGCACGAGACGGACCCGGATTCGATTCCCAGCGGCCCATACGGTTCCCTGAGCACCACCAGGAGTATAATTCCTGTGTGAAGAGTCAGGAGTAACCCCTGTGCATCGCCGGGTGTGACCCAAAAAGAAAAAAAAGAATTTATTAAAAAGTAACAAGTGAACTAAATCATAATTGAAAGAAAATGCAATGATTTAGGAGACATGTGGGACCAGTGGGAGGGGGATCTGTGGGGTGGGGGGGCGGGGCGGTGAAGAAGAAACATAAATGCGAAGGGTTGGGAATCTGCCTTGAACGCAGTGAACACAGGTTCCCACCTCAGCATCCCATATGCTACCCTGAGCCGGCCTGAAGTGATCCCTGAGCACTACCGGGTGTGGTGCAAAAAAGAAAAGGAAAAGAAAACCATAAGTGTCATTTCTAAGTGTCAGTTTTCACATTACTAACCCAGCAATGGAGAAATTTAATAACACTGCTGGAAGATAATCTTCAAAGGAATGTCAAAGTTAAGCAGGATTTCTACAAGGAGGGAATCGATCTGACCTGTTATGAATCCTTACAATCTTTTCTTGGATGGGAACCAGGTAGAGCACTTGTCTTGCAAGTGTGAGGCCCTGGGTTTGATGACAGCCACTGCATTCGAACAAAATTGTTTTTATTGTTTAGTAAAAGGACAAATGCCAAGAGACCATTTTCCCTAAAACAAACTTTCAGAAACTTGGTCGTTTGAAATCATATCAGTGAGAATGGAATTCCACTTCTGTCTGGCAGAGCTGAGTCATATGAGTCACTTCAACCCTTTTCCAGTAAGGATATAAAACTTCAAATAAATGGTTTTCAGATAGAACTTTCCACATTTATTTTAGCTTTATACTTTCCAAGTATCCAAAATTTTTCAGACTGTTTCATAGCCCAACTCTGACACTGCTTCTTACCCTATTCTGTAGCACTGTCCTCCTGTTGTTTATCGATCTGCTCGAGTGGGCACCAGTAACACCTCCATTGTGAGACTTCTTGTTACTGTTTTTGGCATATCGAATATGTCACGGTGAGCTTATACTGTACCAAAAATTATACTTTTCCCCTTCTTTTTGTTTTTGTTTCTGGGCCACACTTGGCAGTGCTAGGGTTCCCTGATAATTATTGGGGGTAAAGGGTCCCTTTTGAAAGCGCTTAGTACCATGCAATTCTAGGGATCAAACCCAGGTCTCTTACATGCAAAGTATATACTCCAGTCATTTAAGTTATCTCCTTGTTTTTTCCTTTCTTTTCAATTTAGACATCTCCAGTGTCTCTGGGGTATATGTATTGCCTTTGTTTTAGGAAAAGAACCACAGGTGTGAATATCCAGAAAATAACATATGCTTGAGGAGGTCATACAGTAGAGAAAGAGGAAGAATGGAAGGATAAGAGGAATGCAGGGCAGAATCACACAAGAACTCTGGGACCATCCTAAAACTGGCTTTTACTAGGCCAGAGAGTATAGGGATTTAGGCATTTGCTTTGGATTGACCCTTATTGGTCTCTGTTGAACCCCGATACCATATATGGTCCCCTAAGCATTGCCAAGAGTGATCCCTGAGTGCAGAATCAGGGGTAGAGCCAGAAATTTTGAAGATAAGTTATGTAGGATCTACTGATAGATGATATGTGTATTGAGAAAGATATGAGTTTAGGCTGACTTCAAAGGTTTTTGTCTAAATAAACATTGCATCAGTGACAATGAATATAAATATCATTACTCTGTCAGTCAAAAGTCAAAGATGGTCAATTTGTGAGGTCTAGGGATAGTTTTATGTCAAGGTATCTGTCTTGAAAGCTCAAACTCAAGGCCAAGTTACAGCACTTGCACTGCATCATTTGCCCTGAACATGATCTCAGAGAAACTAATCATAGGGAATCCCTGTCTTAACAACAGTGTTCAGTGTTCATCATATCATAGTCAAGTGAGTGCAAGCACCACAATTAAAGAGAGTGATTCCCTGCTGCACCACAATTGATTGTGTGAACAGCATTGACAGGTGTGCAACCCCTATCAAACATATGTGTAAACAGCACAACTAAGTGGGTGAGCACAATTTTAAAAAGGAGAGAGAAAATTTTTAATTGTTTGTTTTGGGGGGGTCACACCAATATGCTCAGGGCTTACCCCTGGCTCTGTGCTCAAAGATAACTTCTGGCAGAGCTCACAGGACCATACACAGTGCTGGGGATCAAAAATAGGTTGACTGATACAAGGCAAGTGTATGCAGTACCTTAACTCACTATATTTTCTCTACAACGTCAAAGGTTTATTTTATTTTTCAGTGAAGCAAGATATTTTTTCCCCTTGTTAATGCTATGTACATTTATAGATATTTAGATTCTGAATATAAAACAATGAATGGTCTATAGACTTTTTTAGTACATCCTCATATATCTGTTATAATTAATGGAACTCTGCTCTAATGGTGCTTATTTGAATGTGTTGGCCAATAGGGTAGCAAATTCAGAAGCAAGATAGTTTTCATTAAACAAAACTTGTTTAGCTATATGTGAGATGATGAGGTCAGAGCTATAGTACAATGGGTAGCCATTTGCCTTGAACATGGCCAACCAGGGTTCAGTCCTCAGCACCTCATATGATCCCTGAGCACTGATAGGAGTGATCCCTGAGTATTGAGTCAGGAGTAAATCTTGAGCACTGGTGAGTATGGCAAACACACAAACAGAAGTGAGAGAGGAAAACAGAGAGAAAATTGTGTGTTCATGAGAGAATACTGGTTTCTCCAGAGTGGAAAAAGCTTGCAAAGAGGTATAATGACAAGCATGTGAAATATAAGCTCAAAGAAGAACACAGACTCAAAGAGCAAACAGGTTTATTTTTATTAATATTTTTTCCTATGGGTCTCCCAAGAAATGCTTAGGGGTCTAGGAAACACTCCCCTAGTACTCAGCTTACTATGGGGTCTGAGATTTACCATTCAAGTCTAGCCATGTGGTGCTGCTCAGCTGCAGTGCTATGGGTTCCAGGGTCACAACTGGAGGTGCTCAGTCCAGGAGTTCTTTTTTGTTTGTTTTGCAAGGAGCAGGCAGGTGAATTGGGAAACTCTGGAAACATGAGCAACTTGGGGGGAGGGATTACACCTGGCTGTGCACAGGATTTACTTCTGGCTCCTAACTCAGGGATCATTCTGTCAGTTCTCAGAAAACCACGTAGGATGCCGGAGATTGACTGGAGATTGAACCTGGCTCGTCATGTGTAAGGCAAGCATCTGTCTCCAGTCCCAGCTATGAATAATTTTGCATTAAATTTCAGGGAGTTAATTAATTATTTGAAGTCCTGGGGACTTCAAAAACCAAACAAACAAAAAAATCAAGTCCACTAATGGGCCTCAAAGGAGCCCTTAGAACTCTGGTTAAGAACCCATCCCCTGGGGACCAGAGAGAGAAATAATACAGCAGGTAGGATGTTTGCCTTGCACACAGCCAACTGGGGTTGGATATCCAGTATCCTATTTGGTCCCCCTAACCACTACCAGGAGTAATTCCTGAGTACAGAGGCAAAATTAACTCTGAGAATCTCCGTGTGTGACCTCAAAAACAAAAACAAAACAAAAGAACCACCCCTTGCTCTTTCAATGAGATAGACTCTTCCAGTCTCCTTTCTGGGTTACTCCCTCCCCTCCTTGCTTACTGCTCTGGTGCTACATACTCTCTTGGTAACTGCATTTACTTTCTTGGTTTTTCATTTATTTATTTATCGGGTGGGCTGGAGTGATAGCACAGTGGGTAGGGCGTTTGTCTTGCACGCGGCTGACTCGGATTCAATTCCTCCGCTCCTCTCGGAGAGCCGGGCAAGCTACTGAAAGTATCCCACTTGCACAGCAGAGTCTGGCAAGCTACCCATGACGTATTCAATATGCCAAAAACAGTAACAAGAAGTCTCACAATGGAGACATTATCGGTGCCCGTTCAAGCAAATCGATGAACAGTGCTATAGTGGTATGTATTGGGAATGTTGGGGGCCACACACAGTGGTGCTCACAGAATATTCCTGATTGTGTGCTCAAGGGTCCCTCCTAGTAGTGCTTGGGGACTGTTTTGTGGTAACAGGAGGGACTGGAATCAACCACATGCAAGAAAAGCACCTTACCTACTTTACTCTCACTTCAATCCTGCTTTCTTGGCTTTTTACAATACCAAAGCTATGGCATAGCAGTAGGGCATTTGCCTTGCGCGCAGCCAGCCTGGCCAAGCCGGGTTCGATTCCTCTGCCCCTCTAGAAGAGCCCGGCAAATCCTGGCAAGCTACCCGTGATATATTCGATATGCATAGTAACAAGTCCCCAAAAAATGGAGACGTTACTGGGCCTGCTCGAGCAAATCGATGAACAATGGGAGGACAGTGACAGCGATATACCTACAGAAGCTTTTTGGAAGAAGATCAAGGCCAGAGAGATAATAAATATGGTCAAGAGTTTGCCTTGAACGCACCAGATCCAGAGTCAATTCCCAGCACTTTATATGGCACCACAAACCCTACCAGGAGTAATCTCTGAGCACAAAGCCAGAAATAAACCCTGAGCAGAGATGGGTGTGGCCGCAAGACAGAAAACAGCAACCAAAAGGTCAAGATCAGTTAGATCAACCTGAATTAGAGAGATTTATGTGATTTCACAGTTCCTAACTGGTGGGCAT